GTCTGATCCACTCGTACCAGCGCAACACACACTAACACACCACCACCACGTCAGTGTTACTGCAGTGCTGAGAATGATCCACCACCCAAATAGTACCTGCTCTGTGAGGGTCCATGGGGGTCCTGACCACTGAAGAACAGGGTAAAAGGGGGCTAACAAAGTATGCAGAGAAACAGATGGACTACAGTCTGTAACTGTAGAACTACAAAGTGCACCTATACAGTAAGTGGAGCTGATAAAATGGACAATGAGTGTAGAAACAAGGAGGTGGTCACAATGTTAAGCTACATCATTCAATAAAGTCTAAATGTGAAGTGGAGAAGAGACCAAGGACAGACGGCAGAGCAGTGTGATACATTTTATTTAGACCAAAAATATATTTACATACCAAATACGCTTCATTATGGGAACGTATCCAATGAGACGTTGTTAGGTACATGATTTGCTGATGTACAGTGTGCAATACAGGCACATAATAAGCAGATATAAAACCTCTCAGTCCTTTTTTGCCTACAGGGCCACCAAACTGTTCCAAATGGTATCAGTTCACCCACATTGGAAGATATAAAGCATAAATCAATATACACTTGGCTGTACTTTATGGGTTATTAATGTGTGTTGTACTGTACCTCTCCTGTAACTACCATGTTAGTGTGTTTATTAGGGTTTTTGTACATTTTTGGTTCACCGTCAGTAAGAGAGGAGCGCTACGAGAGTTCGGTACTGATCATTCCTTTCATTCCACCCATATTTTTATGCATTCATTCCACCCATATAAGTAAGAACACAGGTAAGGTGCCTGAAGCTTGTGTTCCACCTGACGATCTGGAATCCTGTCTTACCAGCCCGTCTCCTAACATGGTAGCATTACCAGGCCAATAGGAATCACACAGTCTTTCTCCACCGAGGTTAAAGGACCTCTCTGAAGAACAAAAGAGTTATAGAGCCGTCCAGAACAGGACAGGAACAAAATGTTTACTGAGCGCGTTCATGTTTTGCTTTCCCACCACCCTGTAAGAAATGTGACGTTTATATAAATTGGGTTTGAGCCAGAAAGTGTGGATGAGAGGCAGGAGAACGCTGCTGGAGTCTTCAGTACACTCTTAATAAAGATGGCTCTTGTAGGGTTCTTTAGTAAAGGGAATGGTTCCATTTAAAACCATGAACACTCAAGGAACCCTTTGCACACTTAAATGATTCTTTGCGAGGTGAAATGATGCCTCAGACTGTTGTATATGGCTCTATAGCACTAAAAGGTGCTCTATAGAACCACATGCAACACATTTGCTATTAATCTAAAAAAAACATTTCACCATGCAAAGAACCACTTGAGCATGCAAACAGTTCTTTGAGTGTTCAGGGTTCTAAACAGAACCAATTTTTCGGCCAAAGAACCCGGAAGAACCAATTTTTTTAAGAGTGTAGATTTTGTGAAAAGCTTTGTTAGCTTGCTTTAGCAAGGAGTGGAATTAATTAGACAATTCTAACTACTTAATTATCTAGCTAGCAGGCTGGCCAGCCAGTAAGGGAAGTAACTTTGCTAACACTTCTTTGCTAGCAGGTCAACTAGTTATGGTATCTTTGGTTACACCTCTCTGCTACGACTAGTAGTTGATGGTCAATATTCCGACTTCCAAGTAGAAAAAATCCATTTCATTGTCCGTCCAAGTCGCAATTCCCACTCTCAAGAGCTCTGATTTCTTTGAGGTGCAATACTGATGTTACTTAACGTGGCGTTACGCACTGAACAACTGAACAGCTGGAAGATTAAGTGCATGTTTTTGATCAAACTGTTTGCTTTCATGTAAAATATTAATTGCAACTAAATGCTGAATTGCCCTAATCTACATCCACTTTTAAGAACTTTTAAGAACTAAACGACTCTTTATTTCCAGTATAAAACCTTTAAAGAGCTTTTTAGACGCACACCAAGCAGCCAAACAAGTGTAAGCTTATAATGTGAGGTGGAAAATAGGTGGTTGCACTTTTTAAATGAATGCAGCACTAACAAAACAAGTCTTCAGTTCCAGTCTATAAGCTGTAAGGAGCTTTTTAGACACACTCAGCAGTCAATATGCGATTATTTTAATGCTCTGAGATGGAAAGAAGTGGGTTCCAAGTTGGAAAATTCTGCGTTCCCCATTGTCATAAATGCAGGTTAAGTACTTTGCTTACACCTCTTTGCTGGCAAGCTAGGCAATAAATTAGGTACTTTGCTTGCTCTTTCTTGAGCAGCCAAGTTTCCACTGCTTTTGGCATGGTCTAATTATTCATTTTACTCCCGTGCTTTTTTTTTAAATGTCATAATTTACAATGCTTGCTCCTTTGCTAAAGTGGTTTGTTTGGTAGGAGCGGGTAGGATTTATGACCTAGGAACCAAAAAGCTGTCTGGGTTCCTCAGTCAAACACGAGTAAAAAGCTGTGGCCTAATGATGGCCTATATTATGGTTTCACTTCTTAGTTTGTGTACAACAACAACTTAATTCCAGTCTTCTGTCTGGTTGTGAAATATTAGACACAACACAAGCCAACGCAGTGCATGTGTATGTGTGGTAACGTTTAAACATCAACTGTGCAATACACTCTATAGCGTCAACAAAGAGCATAACAGGCCTACATACACAAAATAATCAAACGCTTTGGCAGCCACACAATGAAAAGTCTCGTCACAAAAGCCTTGGTGGAGGTTTTGAAAAGTTTTCATAAAGTTAGAAAAGAAAAAGAGTTTCTTTCTCCTTTCTGTGACAACAACAACAACCCCAAAAAAAATACCAAAACAAACATTGTACAAGAAAACGTCAACATCAGCAAACTTTAGGAAGGCGATGATGGCGGCATATGCAATGACATCACTGCAGGCTTTTGTTGTCGTAGCAACAAAGGAATGTTTTCAGGCAACAGCAATGTAGAATGAAATATTCTAGAGTTGTGAAATATTGTGAAATAGTCCTGAAGGGGAAAGTTCAGGTCAGGGGTTGATCCACAAATCCATGAACACACAGGCGCACTTAGCTCTACAGGGCGTCTATCAGCAAACACAGACTGAGCCGGGGGAAGGAGAGGAGAAGAGAAAAGACGAAGGTAAACAAAGGAGTAAGACAAACTGGAGACGTCAGGCTGTGTCTCGAAATCGTGTTGCAACACTGTAAATCTTCCCTGTGGCATGAGAAAGGCACTTTACTGTGGAAGCCCATTCCCACCCAGCAGAGGAGAGAAAAAATCGCCTATGGTTTTTTCTTCTCCTTCACAAAAAAATGACTTTTTCTCAAAATAAACTTTATCTTTTGATATTTTCTCAAAATAACCTTGATATCTCAGAATAGTGACTTATTTTCTCAAAATATCGACTTAATAACTCAAAAATAATGACTTATTTTCTCAGAATATTTACTTGATATCTCAGAATAATGACTTCTCAAAATATCGACTTAACATCTTAAAAATGACTTACTTTCTCAAAATGTTTACTTAATAGCTCAAATAAATGACTTATTTTCTCAAAATATTTACTTGATATCTCAGAATAATGACTTATTTTCTCAAAATATCAACTTAATGTCTTAAAAATTACTTATTTTCACAAAATGTTGACTTAATAGCTCAAACAAATGACTTATTTTCTCAAAATGTTGACTTAATATATCAAAAATTATGACTTATTTTCATAAGATTGATTAATATCACAAAACCAATGACTTATTTTTTCAAAATATTGACTTAATATTTCAAAAATGACATTTTCTCAAAATATTGACTTAATACCTCAAAATAATGACTTATTTTCTCAAAATATTGACTTTATATTTTAATATAATGAGTTATTATGTTGACTACAATATTTACTTAATATCTTAAAAATGACATAAAATCATTTATTTTTTTGAGATTTTGAGTTACTACATTTAACAAATAAACATAATTATTTTGAGACAATGTCATTATTATGATATACCAAGTCATTATTTTGACATAGTGATTATTTGATATTTTTTCCTGTATCTGCTGATAATGAGCTTCCACACTTCACTACTCTTAGGCATAATGTCGGAAAAGTGTTTTACTTCAATCATTTCTGCTTTTTTCTCTTACTCTTAAAAATATATGTGCCACAAAGGGCTCTTTGATCCATGACATAGAAGAACCACTTTTGGTTCCCTAAAGAACAGTTTTGAAAAAAAGGGAGTGTGAAAATGAACCTTTTAAAAGTTCCTTTCCAATTAAAGTGTTCTTCCTAGAACTTTTTAGCATTATGGGGAGGTTCTTTAAACTTGAAAACATCTCATTTACAACAGCGGTTCTCCAAAGATCCATCCATTGACGCACTCTTTGGGGAACCAAAAGTGGTTCTTTGGTATCACACACACAAAAGACCCTTCATTTTCACCAGTGCAGGTAAGTCTCCTGACAAAACAAACTGACAAGAGCTTCCGGGATGAACAGATAATTACAGAAGCACACAGAACACGACATCCACACATCATGGGTAACTGCTACTGAGCTCTGAAAGCTCTTAGAACCTCAGAACTGTCTCTTTTAAAGCAACAGTTGGGTCAAAAATCATCTTTACACAGTTTGCCCCCCTTATTAACACAAATGTAGCTGATCAGCCAAGACTTGTTTAGTGTCTGAAGTTTGCTTCTTTAGTTTTACAGTGGAGCTATGAGGCTAATGTGGCTAACAGTACAAACCACATTCAGAAGTTCAGACACAAGAAACCCTTAAGATTTCTTAACAACTCAGCACACTTAAGTAACCTGTCTGCCTTAAAATTGAGTTCATTGGATTTCTAATAGTATTCTAATAGAATTTTGTCAGTTTTGACCTCAAGTGGGAAAAAACATGGACGCCCCCATGAAATTGAGTATTGTTAGCATCAAGCTAGCCAGCTTATGCTAGTGATATGAGTGATAACTTTAACGTTCATGATGTAGTTACCTTCTAAAACCATACAGTAAGTGTTATAGATTTACTACTGTATCTCTATGTTGACTAAGCTGAAGTTAATACTACTAAAATCTCATTTAAAAGTAGAGAAGCGCTGCTTTATCATTGTTGACGGTGTGAGCAGCCATGCTAATCCGACTTCATATGCTGAATGAGGAATTCCCAGTTGTCAGTGTTTTCTTTGGCTTTTTTAAGGTATAGATTAAAAATTTTGAGTTACAAGCTTAACTCAAAAGTTCAAGGCAGCCAAGTTAACCTTCTTTTTCAGTTAAACAGTAACGTTTCCAGTGTTTCTGGTGGCTAAGCTACCCTTATCTTGTTAGCTGCATTAGTTTCACCACCACAGAACTAAAAAAGCAAATGTCAGACACCAAACATGTCTTGGCTAATTGACTACACTTGGAATGAGGGGGGGACTATATAAATTAGATTTTGACTATCCACTGTAGGGCAGGGCAAGAAACAGCAGCCAGCAGCTAACAGTGCTGCTAGATAAAGTTTGGTGCTTTAAACCACAGGCAAAACAGAGAGAGGTGCGCAGTCTGTAGAAACACCTTCAATAAAGTGGGGTCACCCGAAGGTTCGTGGGGTATTGAGCACTGGTTGCAGAGCATCGGTCGATAGCAGTAGAAGATGTTTGGAGGTTGAGTCCCGTATGAGTCGGCTGGGTGGATTCTCGCTGCTTTAATACAGCTGGGCTGTGCTGCAGTCACTGAGGCAGTGTGTGATAAGCTAATGAGTCTGTCAGAGATTGGCATCTGTATTTGATTCAGCACAGCAGCCTGCATTTCTGATCAACACGGCGGTGACTCATGCTGTATACCTCCCAGACTCCTCGTCAAAACTTTAGTGAATATTTAAATCATGCAGCTAGCAGTTCTGCATTAGCCACATTTAACTCCTGCAGTGCTAGTACAGCATTCTTTCTCGCTCTCTTTCTCACAATCCATCCATCCCTTCTTTTTTTGCTTAAAGGCCCAGTCATACTAGTACTGGCCAGTGAACTTTTCAGCGAGACAGTGAAAGTTACACTCATTTCAATGGGATTCATTGCAGTGAGTTATTCCGTCTTGCAGACTTCCAGGGCGACTAAATTTCGTTTTCCCGTTCGTGGTCAACGTCCTCAACCAATAGTGCTGTGGTTGTGTTGACCTCAGAAGGGCTGGGGCTGCGTAGCACTGAATCTCCAAAATGGAGGAGGTGCTAACTTTGGATTTGTTTAAGCACAAACCTTTGACCATTTCTTCCTCTCTGGCTATAAATAAACACATGAAAGAGAGCCTGTATACACGGTCAGTTGTGAGTCTTTGTTATTTTCTTTATTTCCGTGATTTTACTGTTTGTGGTTTTGAGGATACATTACAGCAAAGGCCAAAGCTCGTTCCGTACCTCGAGCCCTTTGAGCTTCAAGTACAGCTCGGCCATCCTTCAAGACACATGGAAGACAAGCCTCAAGACTCTCTGTCCTGGCACCCAGGTGGTGGAATAAACTTTAACTGGCTGTACCGAATGGTTTTCACAGTCTTCAAACGCAAAAATGAATGGATAACAGCTGTGTTAGCTTCTTGGCTAATGCACACAAGTCACCACACTGTCACCAACAACCAAGTTATCTGATATAATTGTGTTTGCTTTTATGTTTTTACTGTGTTTGGTAGGTGAGTAGTTAGCAGTGTGCGGCACTATACTCGTATGAGTATATAATTATCTGATATAATTATGTTTAATTGTGTGCCATTGCTGTAAGCTAGCTTGCTAACTGCACCAACCTGGAGAACTATTTTATCACACATGCTTTGGTCACTTTTAAAGCCGCAGCTACACACTAGATATTTGCAGTTTGTGTTGCCTTCCAACTCTGGTGTGACCGAGGCCTGAAAGGTTTTGGTGCCATTAGCAGGCTTGCCAGCTTGCCTACCATCAACAATAACAACACAAGCACGAACATAATTTTAATAAATAATTATACACTAACAAGAGTATAAAGCTGCACTCTGATCTGTTGAAAAACAATATGTAAATGATGTGATTGGCCACAGTGAGGTGACTTGTGTGCAGCTGCAGTTAGCCAGAGAGCTAACAGAGGCATTTGCAAGCTGGCTAACTTGCCTATCATAAAGAGTAAAAGCACAAAAGTAAAGATAATTATCTAGTCTCTCAATCAACCGCATCTTATGCTGTCTCTCTTTCATGTGTTTATTTAAAGCCAATGTGTTAAAATGTTAAAAATAGCCACTAGTTAGCATCTCCAGTTTGGAGGTCCGGTGCTGCTAAATGAAGGGATGCCCCTTCAGAGGTCCTCTTGCAGCCAAAGCAGTAGTGCTATTGGTCGAAGACACAAATTCGCTTGTCAAAGTTCACCAAAGTTGAGCTTGACCAGAAGTTTCCCACTAAACTTACTCAAAAACATTAACTGCAGCGAATTCCATTGAAATGAATGCCATTCTGCTTGCAAATGCTAGAGTAACTGGACCAATCAATCAAGACGAAGCATCCAAACATCCTTGCTTTTACTCCCATTGGCTGTAGCATGATGCTAGCTTGGCAACAGATGGCACCTGTGAGTGTGAGTGGGCGGAGTCACTGGGGTCACAGGGAGCGGAGTCTTCCGATTGGTAGTGTATGAAGTCAGAGGTCGTGGCTGGAGCTCTCCATGGCAACGGATGGCACTTGGTGAAGGCTGAGCTCTGCTGTGCGAGAGGGTGGGGTCATCGGGCTCGCAGGGGGCGGAGTCAGGGTATGAGGCCACACCTTTGACAGCAAGCAAGCAACAGACAGACAAATAGACGGAGAGATAGACAGAAAGAGAGAGAGAGAGAGAGAGAGAGAGAGAGATAGAGAGAGAGAGACACCAACGACAGACAGAAAGAGAAGAGAAAAGAAAGAGAGAGAGTGCAGGGTTTAAAGCGAGGACTGGCCAATGACTTTGGGCATTGCAGGCTGGGGCTCCTGCGTCGTGCCCGAGCAAGGCTCCAACTGCATTTCCTGCAGAAACAGACACAGAACAGGACACAATCCGATACGCTGTTTGCTTTGCACAGAGGCTAACAGTAGCAATGTTACCATCCATTTTTCGTGCAAATTTCAAGCAATAACATGAAAATACATTTAAAACTGTTTGTTACACTTCCCGCCCAGCAGCTTGTTTCTAAACAGACTTCTAAACAGAGTCTAAAATGCTTTAGGAAATGGCATCATTTCCTGTAAAAGACTGTCCTATAAGTTCTGGGTTACTGATAAAGAGCTGTGTTTTGCATGTTTCCATCTCTAATTTCATGCATTGCAACTTGTGTACCTTTGGCTTCCCAGATTTCCTTATAACCTACTGACAAGAACATTCTGTTCATCTTATCGTACTTTTATTATTATTTATTTTTTCATCTGGACCATTACAGGGATGAACTCGTTTCTTTGCCATATGGGGCTGTTTAAGCACTTTCCATTTCATCCAGTCTTTTCCACACATCCCTCTCTTTAAGGCCGTGGTCACACCGAATGCCGCTCAACTATGGAGCACCGATACAGCCTGGGTTAAATCCCCGGTCTTATCACTTTTTTGGGGGGCAGTCGTGGGCTGGAGGTTAGGGAACCAGCCTTGTGATGCCTTGTGTGTTGCCGGTTTGATCCCCTGAGCTGACAGTATGTGACCAAAGTGCCCTTGATCAAGGCACCTAACCCCCAACTGCTCCCCGGGCGCTGTGGATAGGGCTGCTCACCACCCCGGACAAGAGTGCTCACTGCCCCCTAGTGTGTGTGTGTTCACTAGTGTCTATGTGGGTGTTTCACTGCACAGATGGGTTAAATGCAGAGGTGAATTTCCCCATTGTGGACCTAATAAAGGGTAACGGTATCACTTGTCAGGCCCACTGCAGAAGTTTCACCTCCTCGCCCACAGAGGTCACTGTCTCCAGAATTCTAGCGGATTTATGTCACCTGATCTTCTTTAGCAGCCATTTTGTATATAAGCACATGGTCTAGGCCTTGTTCTTTGCAAAGTCTTGTTCTCGCCATGCTTGCCTGTTCAAGAAGGAGTAAACTACATTAAATCTGCACTTGACTCCAAGTCCTTGTTGTGAGTCCCTTCGTGACAGCACTAAATATTGCTTTGCGTTGAGTTAATCTAGACGAACTTTAACCCTGTGAATTTGCAAATCTCGGAAGTCACAGTCAATAGAAAACAAGAGGGCAAACTGTGCCGTCTTCTGTCAACTCCTTGAGACCACCGGTGGTTCCAAAACGCGCTTCGTCATATTCTTCATAACTTTCATGTTTCATAAGCTACATTCAGAAGGTGGGGGTCGTATGAGAGCTGTAACTGTCTTCTTTCCGGTCAAATAGATGGGTGATGTAATTTTAAACACTTATAATAAAAGAAGCTGAAATTTTTTGTTCTACTGAAAGTCGACCCATTTTTCCACAAATGTGGGCTATTAACTATAAACCGATGGCGTCTCTTCAGTGATCTGCTCTGTAAAATTTATTTTTATAAAATAATACAAAGAGCGTCTGAGATTTTTGGCTTTCAGCAGTAAATTGTAAGCATATAGCAATACGTGTGATCATAAAACACATGTTCTGTTAATCTGAGGGGAGCTTTTTAAAAACAAATAAATAAAATAAAAATTTGCATTTGTTTCATGCAGTTACTGAATAATTTGCCTTACGATTCGGTCATGTAAATTCAGACGGACAAACCAAAACATACCCTGGAGAATAAGAGGTTAAGAATTCTAAACAGAGAAATGGTCCTCAGTCAATATAAAGTCACCTGCCCCTAAAAAAACAAAATAGTCTAACATTAACTGTTTACTGAACTATACATTCCCTTAGGACTGGGAAATATAACAATGTATAACGTTAACATGATCAATTATGTAACAATACAATACAATATGCTTTTCTAAATCGCCAATTCCTAACAAACACTGACTGACCAACAGCACGTTTCATTATAAAGAGAGCAAAATCTGTCCTGTTTAACTGGATTTAGTGCAACACAGTGAGCCAAATATCTAATAAAAATTTATTTATTATTTATTTATTATTTATTTATTATTTATTATTTAATTATTTATTAAATTTTATTCACAGTTTTTGATAGTAATTTTTAAAATGTAGCACTATTGCTTCTTTTTTCTCTGTTCCAACTGTTTAGATGTCACAAAAAATAAATATTGTGACATTTAAGCTGCGTTCCAAAGCCTAGGCTGCAGCTGAGGTAGGTCGGGTCCCAGGAAGGACTGTCCTATGAAGACTCCTCCTCACACAAATGGAACGGTCCTAACGAGGCTGCGTGGTGACCAAAGTGGCGCGAAACTTGTGAGGGAACTGGTGAGAGAAAATGAAGCCCGTTGCATTGTGTTTGTTGCTTTTTTCATTTCTTCACGGAAATGGAGGAGATGTTCTTATGTAGTACGATAAACTCCACATACACAAACACTTCTAAATAAAATATCATATATGGACGAACGCTTAATCATTTTACACTTTATAAGGTAACGAAGACGAATTCGAGGACGTGAACAACTTACATTTTAAAACAAGCTCTGCTCCAACGGCTTTGTTTTCCACCATTTCTGTGGTGCTGTTTGTTTGTGCACAGAGAACTGTGGGTAAACGAAGGCTGGGAAGGATACATCTGATGCGTCCTTGAAATCTGCATTTCTAGGCTGTACACGAATGGTCCTTCACCTTGGGATGGCCTGCTATGACATAGCAGCTGAGAACTGCAGCCTAGGCTTTGGAACGCAGCTATCGTGTACCGTGAAAAGTTCGCCAAGTATCACAATATTATATTGTTGACATATCGGTCACCTTTACATTCTCTTTAAAACAACCTAAAATCTGTTCCGCATTCTCCACAATTTTGCTCCACAACCGCAAACAAAACAGCGAGTCGGCAGTCTGTGACCACGGCTTAAGAGAGGAAAAGTGAAAGCGTTCCTAGCAGCTCAATTATAAACTAAATAAGCAAAATTTGGACACCAAACATGTCTTAACTGATTGATTGCAGTTGGACTAAGAGAACAACCATGTAAATTAGATTTTTTTGCCAAACTATTCCTTTAAGTAATCTCTGATAGACTTGAATATGTGGTTTATAGAATATGTGGCTTCTGATGCTGTATGGCATCCTCGCATCTATAAACATGGGCAAAAATCAGGCTACTGCTCTTTCTAGCTATGTGATGTGGGCTACCTTTGTGCAATGAGAGGAAAAACTGTGCCAGTTTGATTTTCCAGCAAACTATTGCTGTAAGGCATTTAAAATGTAACATAAAAGGGTGTGTGTGTGTGTGCATGTTTACCAATTTTGTAAAAATTAATCATTACAGTGGAGTTGATTGCGCACTTTAGTAATTAAACAATCTGTACAACTCAGCATGACGAGCCTGTACGCTTATCAGGCCTGCAGCAGAGCAGCGTGACAAGAATAACTCCATTAATGATAATGAGAACAGCTCAGTCTTCATTTTTATTAGTGGCCAAGCTGTGTCTTACACTCATCTCACACACACAAAAGCAAGAAAATGAGATTTCTTACTTATGAAACTGGGCCATAATATGTAGGCTTTGCACGAATCTGACAGCACTGAAATTCAAATGAGTCTGGCTACAAGCACTGAAACTGACTATAAAGAAGAGGAGATCAATGAAGACATTAGAACCACAGCACTCAGGCCTCGTACAGCACTAATAAGGCCACATTTGAAAACTAGGCATGTAGAGGGCTGCACCTTCTTTGAGAGGCCGAAAGCAAGAGCAGACTGGATCTTTATGGGTCGGAAGTTCAACACCGCATCACGCATCTCACTACATGGACAGACTGAAGAAACTGTGCTTCTTTTTAAAGGAGAGAAAGTCCACCAGGTTTGATTTCTCCTACTGAGCCCATGTGAATATTACCAACAGGTGCCTAAAACACCACAAATAGCAAATAATCTATAATAGGAATGTATTCAATCGGATTGGAGAAAATCTTTGAATGTAAACACAGCCATATTAAAATATTACATGTTTCTATTGTAGCATTTAAAAGTAGAGCTAGAAAACTAAAACTATCTTGCATGAATAGAATTAAAGTATTAGATGTGTAGACTGTATGCATCATCCTCACAAATACAAATACAGGATCAGATCTGCTTCTTTCATTTAAGATGGAGGGGGGCCCAGTCAACAGAAGGTCCAAGCATGGCTTCGTGCAGGGATGATGGGGATGACTGTATCAGCTAAGATTAGAATTTTTGCTCCAAACAAGCAACGAGCAGTCGGCCAGTCTGTCATTCGTGTTTTGGCAGATCTGTGTTGCAACTGTATGAGGTCAATAATGTGAGTCAGGTAGGTGCTGTGTGTGAACGCTGCTGCTACACCTGCACTAAAATGTCAGAGCATAATTATACATGACCGACTGAGCTTGTTCACACTTTGCATTAACATGAGTTTCACGTCTGGCTCCTACCTGGATAAACACTGGATGGATTTCATTTAACTCTTTTCACTAAAGTGCGATCCAAGTGTAGATCCTCACATAAAAATATGTTGTTTATGTTCTACTTTAGTTTAATTTTCCCCTGTTAATGATACCAGTCAACAGGCTTGGCGTGGACAAGCCCAGAGCGTAAGAGGCCTCTTGCTTTGGGGTTAACTCCAGCATTTTGTATCCTTCATCTTTCGAGTCTTTAGAGAACACATTCGGCTTACATTTGTGTTAAATGTGGTCAGCATTCATCACTGGCCACCTCTGAACATGGTTTGAGTGATCTGATCACAGTCTGATCACAAAGCGTACTGATCCAACTGCAAAAAACATATGCTGATGCAAGCCGTAGCACTTTATTCGATTGTTATTTAATTGGGTTGATTTAGCCCACACAGTGTCAGCTTCAGGTTTTGATCAAAATCAGCCAAAAGAGTTGTCAATTGTCCAATGTTTCAATAAGAAATTCAGAATCGGTCATGAAAGTTCATGATCGGTGCATCTTTTG